ATAAATAATCAAATGGTATCAGAGGTGTCCTTCAAGGAACCTACTTAGGGCAACTGTTATTTAAACAATACCTGATCAATCATTAGCTTTTATTTCAAAAGCTTTTATTTCATTTAGTACTGCAGCCGCCAACAGCACAGATAAATCAGCTTATACTAATTATCTGTTTTTTTTTTCTTTAATTTCACGTAACTGAATCTAAATAAAAGTAAAACAAAAATACTGGTTCGCAACGGAGAAACAGTAGGGAAAGACCGAATATAAAGATAGGAGACGAAAAATTAGAAGAAGTGATCAATTTTAGGTATCTAGGAAATCAGATAAGTCAGGACAGAAGGAGTAGTAGGGATATAAAACAGAGGACAGCGCAGGGTCGAGCCTCCTTCAATAAAAAGAAGTCACTTCTATACTCGCGAACTATTAATTTAGAAATTTGGAAAAGCTTGTTAATGGTGCATGTTTGGACCGCGGCGCTGTACGGATGCGAAACGTGGAGGGTGGGCGCGGCAGAAAAAAAGGTTAGAAGCTTTCGAAATGCGTTGTTACAGGCGATTGATGAGGAAACCGTGGATAGAGAAGGTTAGAAATGAAGAGATATTAGAAAGAATAGGAGAACAAAGGATTCTGTGGATCTCAGGCATGAAGGTTTAATCAGAGACCTATTAGTGGCGGAAACAGCAGTTAAGAGGAGTAGAGGTAGACCTAGATTAGATTACTGTTCACAAACAGTTAAGGATGTGGGATGTTCTAGATTTAGGGAAATGCGAAGATTAGCCTAGGATAGGAAAGAGTGGAGGTGCATGTCCAACCAGTCGTAGGACTGATGACCTTATGATAATGATAAACTGAATCTAACGCGTTGAGAGTATGTGGTGCAGCCTTACTCTAATTAAAATTTTAATCACCAGACGTCCGTCGTAGCAAAAGTGGTCAGTTCTCAATAAACAATTGGGACTACAATATTGACATCTAATACATATAAACAAAATGAACTTTTGTAATTACAATATAAATATGGATTATTTAAAAGTTGGAGCAGTAATTTTCATGAAATTTTAATTTTAATGCCGTTATAAAGTAGAATTAGGGTCACGCGGGACATAGAGAAACATAGAAACATAAACATTTTAATTATAGAGAGGCTGGTAGTACAGGAAAATAAGCTAAAACGTCAACGACTAATGTTTAACTGGATTTTATGAGTTATTTATGATCGTTTTATAACCTGTAAAACACGAATAAAACAGGTCGTTACTCAGCAATTTGGTCCCGAATTGTAAAAGCTGCAATGGTGAAAGATATTTACAGCTACCAAAAGTTTCCGCACGTCTCCGACGCTTTCGAGTAATTGGGAGACTAAAATTGGTACGTTTCAACTTTGTAAGACCAACTTTACTAACTCATTTTCCACACATGTCCCAAAGTTACAACAAATATCAAAAATTTTATTAGCAATATTTATGAAACGTTAAACAACTGCTATGTTATATTATTTTGTAATATATCCTTGACGGGCGCGAACGCAGGGGCGTGTTTTGGGGGATTCTAACTAGGGTTGCAATTTGCAATCCTTGCTATTATAAAGTATTGTAGGTTATTTAGGGTAATTGTACTCTATACTGTTTGCGACGAATACAGTACGCCAAAATATTTTATTTTACATGTTTTGATGTCTCTGAGATTCGTTTAAGTCATAATATACAAAAAAAAATAAGTTTGACAGGCGCGAACGCAGGGGTGGGTTTTGGGGGTTCTAACTAGGGTTGCAATCCTTGCTATTATAAAGTATTGTAGGTTATTTAGGGTAATTGTGCTCTATACTGTTTGCGACAAATGAAGTACGCGAAAATACTTTATTTCACATGATTTGATGTCTCTGAGGTTCGTTTAAGTCATAATATACAAAAAAAAATACATCGTGTAATTATACAACACGCTACTGAAGTGAAACTTCTTCAAACACACAAACATACCGGAATAGGTGTTAAGGAATTGGTTTAATGGTATTATTTGTACATTATGCTTCGCACAGGTGCAATGCTGATAGTAAATATACTATAGAATGTCTTTATATACAGCAATCACAGCTTTTTTGTCATTAGACAATACAAACCGGCCGGTACCTCCGCAACCGCTATGTCCCTGCATTTTAAATCTGTAATATCTTCGAAAATATTCATTTATCATAAATTACATGCTGTAAAGGGTCATATTGATCTATATTAAACGACAATGTCTTTTAAGAGTACTTAATTGAATATGAATTAATGCTGTATTGTTTAAAATCGCTTCATAAAAAGTCATTATTCTTCCGCGCAAAAAATGTGTTTATTGACGATACCACATTACAAACTTCTAAAATTTTCAGTGTCTCTCTACTATATTATGCATGTATTATAGATATAAACATTCCTCTTGAATTAATCTATCTATTAAGTGAAACCGCATTAACATCCATTGCGTAATTTTAAAGATCTACGCATACATAGGGACAGACAGCGGAGGAAATGCGTTGCATGATTTCGTTACATAGCAACCCGCATGAAACGAACTTACCCTACCGTGCGTAAAGAAGTTTCACTTCAAAAAACGGTAGCAGAATTTTTGCGTATAATCCATAGGTAGGGACAAAAGGTTGCTGGATGTAACTCAAACTAATAATCCTGTCGTATTGAAGAACTGATTTTACATTGTAGTCGCAATAATATTTCTTTGAATTGTTTAAGTAACAAAAATTATAATAACTGTAAGTAGTAAACGTGTAAGAAGTTTTTTTCATGATCAATATTTCGTCATGAAGTTTAATAACTAAATCTGTACGTGTACTGCAGTTATATATAAAAAAGTAACTTTTTAAATATTTTTTTATAACCCGTCTCCCAAAAATATTTTCTACGTTCGCCCCTGATCCCTGATAATGACCGTTCTATTTTAACATACTCCTAAAAGTCACGCGTATCGCAAACGTTTTTACTTAATGCAACGTAATCCTGAAAGGTTAATTTCCAAAACAATAAGCGATCCCATATATCGACTAAAAATAAACAGAATTCCAACTGAGATTAAAAGCATTCCCCTGATAATTCCCTACGTCAAAGGAATTTCAGAAAATATCAAATGTATTCGAAACAACTACAACATCCAAATCCAGTCAAACATTAAAAGGTAATAAAACTGGAAAATAACGATTAGAGGAAGGATTGTATATGCCTACACCCACGTTCCATATATATTTATATATTTATATATGTATAAAACAGTTATATGATTAAAATATGAACGAAATTATGTCAAATTCTTTAGATGTTACCACCGAAATTTAGCTTATCAAATCGTAAATATTTAATTAACTCTATTTTTGACGTTTAATTAAATCACCTCTTGAATTTCGAAAACTTTTAGTTAAGAAACGTCCCACTGTAGTTGGCAGTGCCTGTTCTAATAATTATCGTTTTTCTCGAAAACGTGAAACAAAATACGATAATGGAATAGCAAGTCTGTTATACTATCTCAATGTTAATGGCGAACGCCAACGTCTACTTATTAACTTTAATTAAAAAGAATTGCATCAGGGGTTCATTATTATATCCTCTTTAATTTTCTTTACTTTCTGTCCGATTTTTTTCAGTCATGTCTTGTCGTCTATTTAATTCAATCGATGGATTTGGAAGCATTTTGTCTACCTATACAAGTACTCCATAAATAAAATCATTTAACGTTGATTTTTCGTGATGGTTCGTACTTTATTATTAAGTAGAAGTCTCTTTTGTGGCATGATGAATGAACATTTCAATAAAAACCCTTTTTGACATTTACACAGCCTTCAGCATTCATTGTAACATCCATGAAAACCGCACACGACATTCACTACGAAGACATTAAAATCGATATTTGATATTTTTCGTTATGGGTTATTTTTTAGTACAAATCGCATACCTATTACGAATATTATATTTGATGTTTACCCTTGACGGAACAATATAAAACCGAAGGGAATACAATACAAACATGGGATGAATAATCAAAATTTAGTAAAAAGGAACCCGAACTTTGACAACAATAAATTTGACATAACAAGGAACTTTTATATAGGATTTAGAGTAAGTGCATATAATTTAACATAATTGAAAATAATTCGAAGTGGTCTGTATTCTGTCGAAACTGCCAGACGCGTATCGCGATTTCGACCTTTTTGGATTTCATCAGCGCGTTGCAGACGGCTCCGACAGAACACAGACCAACTTTTTACCTGCTGTCTTAACAGCGCGTTTTAGGATATACCACAAATGGCGCGGTAAACGCCATCTGTAGTACGATGCTACATTTTGGGATTACGTATGCTGCAACAAGGTCCATTTAAATTTATTGATATCTACTTGCTGAAACGAATCCCGGCGTAGTTAACCTCGACGTGATAGGCACGTTACCATAATCGAATAAAATAATTCGAAGTGGTCTGTATTCTGTCGAAACTGCCAGACGCGGATCGCGATCTCGATCTTTTTGGATCTCATCAGCGCGTCGCAGTCTGAATCTAATCTGGCTATTTATACGGTTGCTATTAACCTACTAGCCGAGTGGTAGGTGTTAGCTTGCAACTTTAAACAAATAATTTCCATGTAGGTACTAGCTTTATCTTAGTGGTGTAATAGAAGAAAGTATAACAGGGCAGACAAAACATTAAAAAAGCATTCACCAACTTCGATATGTCGCACATGTCGTCCTAAAAACGTCAAACATTATTTGCTCCTACACCTACTATCAATATAAACTCACTGGAAATAATAAATTTACACAAAAAAAAGAGCGGTGCTCTCGAATACACTCAGTAGAACTATATTTCGATTACGTATGTAAATATACTACCGTCCGTACTAACCAGGTTGCGACCACCGGGACCAGAGACACAAGTTGTAACCACGTGCTCGCCAACTCATACTATCCAACTTCCTTTAACTGCCGTTTTTGCTCACAACTCCCTCACAAAAAAAAGACAGTAAATTTTTGCAAATATATGCTGTGTTTATTGTTATCCATTATTATCTACTGCGTCTTCTTTATCGTCTTCTCTTTCTTAGAAGATTTACAATTGCAAATTTTGTTAACAATTTTTCTTATAACTATCTGAATACATTTGAACGCAATAAAAAGTAAAACCAATAATGTTGCATACACGTCTAAAAGTTGAAGTTGAATCCAACTTAGATTTGCTGTTATTGACCTCAAATGGGGCGCTCCTCTGTGCCTTATCACATATTCAATCCAATAAATTGTGCTGTCAAGTGGTTTAACAGGCCTGTCATGGAATACTCTCGATTTTTCTTTCATATTTTCGTAATACCTGTAATAAAACCATAGACACAATATAGAATATTATTTGTATTTGCCTACTCAAGAAATATCAACAGAATTTGCCCTGTCAATTACTTTCTGTTTATTAAAATTTTGATTAAACCGATGACGATATACAGGTTTGATATTAGTAACCTTATGTGTATTGAGCAAATTCAATTCGTTCAATAATTTACTGATTATACAATGTGCTTGCCGTATGTGTAGTTTCGACGCCATCTTTGAAGTTGGCTTCGCAAAATGGCGAATTTTCGCAGTGTTGCCAACTTTTTCTTTTGACGGATATGCTAACATACGATAGGAAAGAAATAACCCGAATGTAATGAGTGTTGCAGTGATCTTGACAGCAATGCAACATTTGGCGCCAGCGATGTCAAAAATACTTTTTTACCAAATACTCGATCGAAAATGATACAAAAACGACGTGAATTTATCGTCGAAAAAAACTAAAATTTTTGTTAGTGTCATAACCGCTTAGTTTTTGTACGACAGCCATTTTTTTTGCGTCTCCAACACACCTCATCATCACATCATCGACTGCGTTTAATTTTGGAGAATTGACGCTACAAATTTCGAATACATCCTTCAATGGTGGAACAAGCCACTTGTAAGGTCTTTGATAAAGCGTGCTTATAGGTTCAAGGTCACCACTTTTAACTACTCAAAATTAGGCAGCAGTTCCATCAGCTGCATTTTCATGTACTACTGCTTTATAGTCGAATCTCGCAGTTACACACGGTTTTCCGTAGGCAAAAACATCAAACGGCTGTCAAAATAAAATAGGCGGCGCGGTGGTTGCAACCCCAACAATATAGGTTGTTGCCGATAAATTCGCGTCGACTTTTTTAATTTTTCACCATTGTCGTTTGAACAATTTTTTTTGGGATACATTTTATGTATTGCAGACAACCAATAACTTCAAAAACCAACCGAAAGTAATAAACATAAATAATTATCTTTTTAAAGAATAATTATGAATGAACAATTTCGTACTTTTTATTGTTAAGCATTTCGCCTATGGCTTTATCGAAGTTCTTCTCGTTCATTTCATTATAAAGCACTTTATAGGCATAACCTTGTTTGACCGCCTCCTCAACGTTGTAAAATTGATCTCCAAAAACAGGAATTCCAATTATTGGGACTCCATTGTAAACAGCCTCTGTTAAACTAAGTAGACCCCCATGAGTGATGAACAATTTTACATTCGGATGAGCTAGAACAGAGACCTATTTAAACAACATAACCAGGGACTATTCGATTACGAATCCATTATATTGCCAAATGTAATTTTGTGCACCATTCAATTGTCACTAATGAATTACCAGGGACGCTGGTTTTATTCAAGACAGCTTTATTATTATTCTCAACCTATGTTAATTGTATTAATTTGTTACTAGTAGCTATGTCCATGCGACTAAGTCGTAATTATTTGTTGTATTTAAAACAGTCTAAAGCGCTTTCGCATATTTGTATATACTGGAGTAAAATCATCGGATTCAATTTCACTTCAGGCATTTTTGGGAGTTTTTATTATCTTGGTTTTATGGATGTAATCCCAAAACAAAGCAGGAAACAAACCAGTGGAAGACACCTGGCTCTCCTCGTCCCAAAGAAGCTCGCTAAGTGAAGTCAAACAAGACAAGGCTCATAGTAGAATGAAGATTCGGGCTATAGCGTCGTGGTCTAAGTGAACTATTCTGTCCATGGATATTCTACTATGGATTCTGTCCGTGAAAGCCTTTGTTCTTATAAGACAAGGCTCATTTGCTTGTTCGATTTCAGAGGTGTTGTGCACGTGGAGTTCGTTCCACCGAGTCAGACTGTTACTCAGAAGTTCTACTTGGAGGTTTTGAAAAGAGTGAGGAAGAATATCCGGAATAAAAGGGCAGATCTTTGACGAACAGTTTTTCATTACCAATTGTCCACTTCCCCCCACTCACCGAATCTGGCGCCCTCTGATTGTTCCCCAGACTCAAAAGTGACATTTGCCAGAAGTTAAAACGAAAATCGCTGGAAGGCCTAAAGTACATCTCGATAAGTGAATGTAAAGAGTGTTTTCAACAATGGAAGGATTTTTTGCAGAGGTGCGTTGTGATCAATGGAGAATGCTTTGAAGGTGATCAGAATTTGGTGTAAAAATATTAAAAAATTATCACGAAATTGCTGTTTTTTTGGTCCCCGCTCGTACATAGGAATTTCCACTAATAAAAATTGGTAAATTTTATAACACAAATTTGCAACTTAATGATTAGACATTTTGGTGTATCATACCTAAAATATCCTGCTGCGGATACCATTTACTAATGTGGACATTTTTTGGTTTATTTGGGAGTTCAGGATCTTCGAATTTCCATAACACAACCTGTTTCAGTTTCGAAAATGATTTTAAGATTCCATCCTTAGTTTCGTTGGGCAATGAAAAAGCACGAACGTTGGATCCTAAACTGAAAAAGATGGCGCCATCTTTTGCACCGTCCAGAATTGTTTTCAAATCTTTTGGAAGTGGTTTGGGATCAGACACATGAAATCCACCAACGTCTATTGCATTAGGAACAGAAGGTAATGAAAATCCATAACTTGGATGCGAGTTCCATAAGTACAAAGATACATTAAAATAAAGATCACTGACTGAAGGCGCTCCCGGAAAGAACTTTTGCATATCATTGTCCAGTTTCCGAAAATGGAAGAAATATCCATAAATTAGCATTGAATCAATTATAACTGTGTTAATAAGCCTTTGAAAGAAGCACATCTCAGGGGATATGTTAATAAGAAAATCGGGAAGATAAGCAGGAACCCCCGGTAACCCAACTTGCATGCTTCCTACAAATGATTGTCCAATGGTACTTAGAAGTATATAGGGTGCTTTAAAATGATATGAAAGCCCTGTTAAGAGCTCTTCACCAAATTTATGAATTATTATGAGGTCAAAATGGAGTCCAGGCTTGAATATTTCTTTTTGCACATTTTCGTCTTCCAATACATGCTTTCCTCCGTCAAACACTAGAGACATGAATGTATTTTGAAATGTTGTGGGATCTACCTTATCCTTTATTGCTAAAATAAGAAAAACACATTAATATTAACGATTAATAAAGATAATTTCAATTCAAATAAAAACGATTCTAAAAAATGCCAGAGTATGATAAGCAAGAAAGCCGAGTAAACGATTACACATCACACAAGGGAAGTAGAGGAGTTGTATTAACACACCCAAGTTCTCAATGACGCACATATCTGCGGTATGGCTTTTGGAGAGTATTCATGACATTAATTGCATAATTACTGAAAATAATTTCAAGTTACACCTAATAATAAATTAATAAATCAATACATTACAATATTATATCTGTTAATTGTACCTAGATGTAGAATATGGTGGAAATGAGCATACAGTTATTTCCGAATAAATCATTTCCATAGTTAGTAATCATGAACATGCTCCTCCACTCTTTCCTTTATTAATACTGCTTTGTCAATACCGCTTCCATTTTATCTAAAGCTATCTCTAATATTGCATAATCTAGTTTAAAAAGTAAATATAAGCATAGATAACGTAGATAACTGGACAAAGATGATATGCACCTGAATTTGACAATTATAGTATGTGATTAGAATATATGTATAGGCAACCATCTATTCACTTGACTCGAGTCATTTGGACACACCCACTGTTTCCAATGGTTTATTTCCAACTGGTTTTTAATTAATGATATTGACTAAACGGAAGCATATCATGGTTATTAAAAGTATAATGATATTGATCTTGTAAACTAAACGTTTTAATATGTAGAAACCGTTATGATTGTAAATTAAAAACATTTTAAACCGCTTAATAAGCCGAATGAAGTTTTACAAACAAACAGTGCATTTCAAGCACATAAACGTCTAACATTACTATATATTATTTTTAAATTAAATTAATTAAATTTAAAGTTTTTATTCAAGGAACTGATGAATAGATTTTATGCAGTTATTAAATTGACTTCAAAACCGCAATAACGTAGTACTTTTCTTATGTGAACATTTATCTGGGTAAGCGACAAACAAAATAACGAACAACCCTGTATGTAATGGACACATTTCTCCCAAACTTAATACAATCAAACTGAATGAGTTAGCAAAGAGACAATGAAACTGAAACCTTCACTTTCTTCTTTGAGCTTGGTCAGCGGTATTTCCTTCAAGTTTTCGACCTGCGTCTTTTGGCTATAAGGACTTATAAGGGTCACCCTGTGGCCTTTAGCCAAAAGCCCTTTAACAATCTTATCACATAATATGTAGTGACTGTACGATGGCATCTGTTGGATGTACAGGATCTCTGAACATTTACATTCTAAATAAAAAAACAAATTGATCGTTAATATTAGTAACTTCATAATTCTGTAATATTGCTTTAACACACATCAGTTCACTACTGTACTATGTACGGGGACCTTGTTGAATTATTTGCAATTGATCTTATCGCAGAAAGATAATTTTTCATAAATACACAAATAACAACATTAAATAGTATTTATCAATTTTAGAAATCGAAAGATATAAGTATCCAAGGTAAGTCACAAGAATTTTTGTATCAAGGACAAACCAGTAAAATTGAAGTTTATTTTCAGATTTATAGCTTACTTTGGTACTTCCCCATACCTTATTTATAAGAGCGAGAGAATAATATACCATAATTTTCTATAAATTTTCAATATTATTGCTAGGTAATCGTTAGAGAAAGGATTTAAAGTCCATTAAATGAATCTGTACGTGTTCGAAATAAATGATTATAGTGAAAGAATTAGAAAGACCTATTTTATTACATTTTTGTTATGAATCTCACAATCTATTTTACCGTAAAACTCGCCCCTATTTGTTAATGTGCAGGGTGACCCAAAAAGTACTCAATATGCTCATTACGACTAAACTGTAAGTTTAACCGAAACAGTTTTCAAACAAAAGGTGCTCCCTTTTTTTAATACAAGATCGTCTGCATTATATAAATTTGATTTAAAGTACAGAATGTTCAAATATAAAAAAAGAAAGCTTTGTTTAAATGGGATCCTGTGAAATATGACTCCAACTGAAAAAAGTTATAGGAAAAAGTCGTTCAGAATGTCAAAATATGAGGATATGCTAAAAATGAAACGTTTTGTGATTCGGTTCAAGTGACTCAAAAGGTCCGCAAGTAGATAGACATAGGTGTGGAGGTACAGGAGAATGCAAATTCACAACCACTTAGTTTTGAAGAAAAATTTACACTATTTAAGCTGCATTTAACTAAAATAAAAGATAAAGATTTAAATATCACAGCGATCTTTTACATGGCCCAATATTTTGGCATTCTAAACAAATTTGTTTTTTCAATTGGACCCTCATTTCACAGGGCTGCCGTTGACGAAACCTTTTTTATCCATTTTCGAACTCTCAGTATAGTATACCAAATTTGGATAATACAGACGATCTTGTATTAAAATAAAAAACAAATTGTGTTTGAAAATATTTTCAATTAAACTTGCGTATATGTATTCACAGATCAGAGACCGGTGCCAATTATAGAATTTCCTTTTTGACTTTTCTTTGACCTAGAATGATTGGAGAAATTCTGGTAAATGTGGCAGATAGCTTAAATTTTCGGTCACAGAATCTTGTACGACCCGAGAAACACTTTTCTTAAAAGCTTGGAACTATGTAACCTCCAATACTGGGCTTATTACATGCTTTTAGGGCTCTAGGGTGAGTTGGCATAATGCGGTGTCGCTAAGGATACTTGAACAGAACATGGCAGTTTTCGAGGAAAATTGTGGTAACATCCTCTTCAAGGAAAAAACAACTTATTAAAAAATAAATTCCTCATGAAACATTAATACTTGAACAACAATAAACTCTGTTAAAACGTATAACCAACTGTATTAATATAAACATGTGAACAAACGACGAATTCTTTAAGAACAATAATTTCTCCTAGTTATTATAGCTATTAACTACAGTCATTTATATAGAATTAAATAAATACGAATAGAATTAACTCGATTATTTAAACAGGCGCTTTTTAAAAGAGTGGTTAACTATAGTTCGATGCGTTTTCTTCTGATCCTAGTTTGGTATCCACTTTGTTTTGGATATCATTATGGGGCAAGTTCTAATACTTGTGCTAACTGGCCTCATTCCCAACTATGCCAAATAGATTCACGGGAATATCTTGAGCAATATGGATAACACACAATCCCAAACATCAAGAACAAAAGTTTAATGGTATATGCAAGCATCCACAGTTATCCATTCTTTCGAAAACCGCTAGTTTCTCACTTTGATCTACAGAAAAATGAAGATAGAAAAAACTTTGGCGGTTGTAGAACAAACAAAATAGCTCAAACCCCAACGCCTTCAGTCCCTGAACCTTATGAAAAGTGCTTCGAACAACTAAAGTGTCGTGTTTTGGCGTTGGGGTTGGAGCTATTTTGTTTGTTGATCTACAGAATCGCCAGAACAACAAATTTACTCGCCAATTATGGTGGACGTGTGCCTTATTTTTAATAGTCCTACTTAAACTTGTCAAAGGGAAACTATCGATATAAAATCTAACAATCTCATATAAAAATCAAATTTATTTTCCGATACCTTGCAAAAAATATTTTTTGAAAAATAAAGCATCTTCTTAATTTCAAAGGAATATTAAGAAGATAACGGTCCTATCTCAGTTTTTATACAACAAATTCGGTCATTAGTCAAGAAATTTAAGGATAAGAGGGGAAATGTATAAGCGTAATTATTTGAAAATATGAATCATAGCCTGTTAACGTTCTTTCTCTGAAATTAAGTTACCTACTGCACTAGTACTTAATTAATTTTATTTTTCACGATTAATTAAATTATCTCTTACATTTCGAAAACATTTGCTTAAAGAAACGTCTTAGCAGTTAGCAGAGCCGGTTCTAATAATTATCCCTTTCTCGAAAACGTGAAACAAAATACGATAATGGAATAGCAAGTCTGTTATATTATCTCAAAGTTAATGGCCAACGCCAGCCTGTACCTCCTAGCATTAATTAAGAAGAATTGCATTAGTGGTTAATTATTATCCTCTCGAATTTTCTTTACTTTTGGCCGGATTCCTATCAGTCATGTCGAGTAAATCGTCCATTTAATTCAATCGATAAATTCGGAAACGTTTGATGCACCCATACTAGAACATCATAAATGAAATTATTTAACGTTGTTTTTTCGTGATGGTTCGTACTTTAATATTACGTATTATTTGGAACCCTCTTGTTGCGTGACGAAATAATATAATAAAACTTTGTTCTGATATCTATAACTCAACATTTTTCAACTTTCATCATAACTTCCATAAATTGCCTACAATATTTTCTTCGAATGCATTAAAGTCAATGTTCATTATTATTCGTCGTGGTTGTTTCTTTTTTGAACAGATTATTACATTCGCTCTTGACAATCTCAAACCAATATAGAAAAACAAAACAAAAATGAGATGAGGCGTTAAAAGAAAGCAGAAAACAGAGAAATTGCTTTTCAAATAAATAAAACCTTCATAGTATGATTTCCATGAAAACTGGAAATAAAAAGATTACAATAGGAAGAGGAAGTAACTGTTCTAAATAAAGAAATGAGGTTATAGAAGTAATTAAATTAAAAAATTAAAATGTTATATTATTACTGACAAGGGGTAAATAAAGAGCATTCTGTTTCCGAGTAATTTTCTAAATAGAAGTTTCTATGTTGCTCATCGTGAGTAAAGCAACTATATACTAGGGTCAATTGAAAAGTCCCCGGCCTGACACATAGCTGGCGGCACCAGAACTAAATCCATATGATTTTCAGTTAGTCCTAACCTTCAAAAGACGCGTCTATAAATTTGACGGCTGTCGGATCATTAGTTTGTGAATTATAGCATTTTTAGTGAAGCAACTTTTGTTATTGTGAAAAAAATGGATAAAAAGGAATTTCGCGT